CTCATTTCTGCATTTCAGTTTTTGGAGGGAAAAATTATACTTTTAATAAAAGGAAAGCACAAGAAAATAAAATGGAGATGCGGGGGATCGAACCCCGTGCCTCTCGCATGCAAAGCGAGCGCTCTACCATTTGAGCTACATCCCCATTTGATGGGATTAATATATTTATTCTTATTAAAAGATTAGTTACAGGCATGGTACAAATCTAAGCAAAATGATTCCAGAAAAATGTTGCCTCTTATCGTTAGTTCTGAAAGTCAATGTTTTATGGTATATCTTAAATCTTAATCACCTATCGGACAATAACAATTTATTTAGAGGACCATTTTTGTTTGAAAATTTAGTTAAGACAGAATAAAAAGAATTATTTGGCTCTCATATTTTTAAATAAGCCAAAGAAATAAAACATAACTAAAGTAAAAATATATATTTGTCTCACGTACGCAAACATTTTTTGGACAATACTGATTGAGGACAAAATTTGCAGTCAATGAAAAGATAAAGATAAATATATGATAAAAAGTAATGATATAAATATGACAATGAATAAAAGTTATATCTTTAATATAATGTAGTATATCTATATCCCATGCCCCCAACAAAAAGATTTGAAATTGTGAAATCTTAAGGGGAAGAAGTAGTTGGAAAAAATGAATACAATGACTGACTTTTGTATAAATTTTGAATGGGGACCGTATGGTTATTTTGGAAGATCAAGATTGATTTGTGTTCTCCTCCGTGAGAATATTAAAATCATATATTTACTTGTCAAAAATGATATTCGAGTGAATGAAAATTGGAGCCCAATGTAATGCATTGGAAAAAAATTTGTGTTGAAGGGAATATAATTTAAAGTTATCACACATAGGAAAATAGATAAATACATGACTACTTTAAACATGATTGCACCTTAGAAGATAGAGGAAGAGGAAAAAATCGAAGATTTCACATAGTACATTTAATCAAAAAATCAATCTGATTGATTTCGTACCCTTCGTTCAATGAGAAAATGGGTCAAATTCTACAGGATCAAACCTATGGGACTTAAGGAATGATATAAAAAAAAAGAGAGGGAAAAATATTAAATAAAAATGAAGTAGAAGAACCCAGATTCCAAATGAACAAATTCAAACTTGAAAAGGATCTTTCTGATTCTCGAAGAATGAGGGGCAAAGGGATTGATCGAGAAAGATCTCTTGTTCTTATTATAGGATCGTGATTGGATCCGCATATGTTTGGTAAAGAGAATAATCTTCTCCTTTGAAAATAATCAAAAATGGAAAGTGTTCAATTGGAACATGAAAACGTGACTAAATGGTCCTAGTTACTCTTCGGGACAGAGTGGAAGAAGGGAGGGGATTCTCGAACGCGGAAAAGGATCCAATGAATTCGAAAGAATTGAACGAGGAGCCGTATGAGGTGAAAATCTCATGTANAAAATGAATTTACAAGTGAAATCTTCTCTTTTTATTGAATTATAAAATCAAGTTTGATAACAAGAAGAGAAGAGGCAAACACTTCAATAGATGGTAATGAGTTTAGCTCAAAGTGTTGAGATAAAAAACTTCTTGAAGAACTAAAGATTTTCACAAAGTTAAATCACTCAAAAGTTTTTCAAGAGTTTGATACTTTTTTATTTTCTTAAAGTTGGATAATAAGGTGGTTGTGAACAATAAAAAAGCCTCACTTTATGCTCAAGAAGGGTTGTTGTTAGTGGAGAAATAATGAGGTATTTATAACACTCAAATGGTCAAAAACTCCATAGTCTCGATTGTTTGATCATGTTTCCACGTTGGCCATTGTGTGCAAATATCTTGGTCTTGAACTTTGTGCCATCGAATATACTTATGTGCAATAATCACTATGTACACTTAAATCAATTTGTTAGCAATAAACATAATTTGTTAGTGATAATCAAAACGAGAAGTCAACTATATGTCAACAAAATATCAGACTGGATTGAAAAAAATTGACCCTTAGGAGAGTCCACATTTTGCCTTTATTTTATTTTTCCTAAAGCCTTTCAAATTCTTTTGACTCCTGAAACTCATCTGATTATGGATGTGTTAAGGGATAGATTAAAAACCGATTAATGGTGGTTAATAAATAACTCATGGCTATTAATTCTCTATTACTGTCTATTTATTCAGCCACCTTCATCCATTGCATACATACGAAGAAAAATAGTTTTCTACTTAACAAGAAAAAAAAATTCAATCTACGTACATTGTTTATTTTCTGTTAAGATCTTGGTGATAGTATTTAGATACTAAGTTAGTTTGTCATAGTAGTATTTGTAGTGCTCAGACTTTACTGTTTTTTTGTTGTATCTTGAAAACGGACGCTCTAATTAAACCTCAAGTATCTACGGTGAGGGTAAAAATTTGTTTTAAGGAAATTGAGTTTACACAGGCCTCGGTTCATTCGATTAATTTTTTTAAAAAGCAATTTAGATTACTTGTTCTGTTTTATTGTAATTAATAAATTATTTGATTTGCAATAGTTTGGCTAACATTTGGTTAGCTAGTGTCCGATATATCTTTATGCGGTATTTCTATTAATTGCAAATTCGGTATGTGCAAATCCGATATGTGTTACAAATTCAGTATGTGTCCATCTAATATTTGTTAAGCTGGTATTCATTCACTATTAATTTGATCTAACAAAAATATTGTGTGTAATATTTTCAATAGTCAGAAGTCATGATTGTTGAAAATAAATAGTGTATTTTTCTTTTTCAAAACCTTCTCGAGTCTTTGATCTTTTCTTCAAGTTCGAAAACTCCTCCTTTCACTGCCCAACAGTTTCTTAGTAAATGTGTCTTTTCAAACAAATGATGGTTACTGTAATAGGTGATTATATTCAAACCTTAACAGGTATGGATCCAGGATCGGATTAAAGGTCGGGCTAATACGTAAAAAAAAAAAAAATCATTTTTTTTATAATGAAGGTCCCTGAACCTTAGGTTTTCGTTGATTATACCACATTATAATTATAATGAAGGTTATCAATTTTTGTTCATTTTTACACTCATGTCTTTCAACTTTTTTCGTTATATCATTATCTTTAAATAGCCCATTTGTTTTTTATGATCGTTTCTGTCCAAGCACAGGTATTTGAGTATTTCGTCAAATTTTGTATTTATTGTTTATTCTGCTTATTTTAAACTACGATAAGAAATAAGTCTTTAGATTTTGTCTTAACTGATTTTTGAGATCTGCTGCATGTACAATTTTTAATGGACCGTACATTTATAGCCCACGCTGATTAATGTGGGCATACTAATCGGTGTGGGCTGTAAATGTGTAGTCCATTAAGGACTGTACAAGGGGTTTTTTGGGAAAATTAGGCCCAGTACGGCATTTGAAAAAAAAAATTGAAGAATACTCTAAATTAATGTTTTATCGCTAAATCTTTAAATTAACAGTAATTAATACGCTAAAAAACACCCAAACTTGATGAATAGAAGTCATTTTGCTGAAATAACAATACACTCCTCCCTGTTAAATAAGAAGAAGAAGCCAATTTCGTCAAAAATAACACCGAGTAACAGTGCCAATTTTCAGCCATCTATCTCACTTCTACTTGAATTCCATGATTAGATTTAGTTTAAACCTTATAGTGTAAATAATTAACATTATAAAGTTTCTTTTTGATGATTTTGTTATTTTGTTTGGGAACACGTTTGAAAAAATAACTTTGAATCTGTTAAATTTTTTATGCATGTAAGGTGTTTGACAAAAGGATAATGTGAATTATGCCACTTTTTCTATGAAAAAGTGACGTTTTGTCACTTTTCTATGAAAAAGTGACGTTTTGTCATTTTTCTAAAAAAAAAAGTCACACATCCTCCCCAATTTTGTGATCCTTTAACCCCTCCTTCTCCAAATTTTGAATTATGTCACTTTTTTACTTTTTTATGTCACTTTTTTTGAGTTTATGTCACTTTTCAAAAAAGTGACAATTTTTATAAAAAAGCGACATTGTGTCACTTTTTTTTATTTTATACAGTATTTTTTACTTCCTGTAAACCTTTCATATGATTTTTCAAAACACTCCTAATTTCAAGGGTATTTTTGTAAGTACTCCGGGTTTTTTTCCCTGATTTTTTACTTACAATTTGGCAAAGCTTGTGCTTATAAGCTGATCGAAGTCCCTTTTTATCTAAACATTTTATAGAAATCATTACTTTTATTATTATCCCCACATTTTATATGACGTACGATTTAATAAAAACTTTAGTCCCTCTTGTTTTTAGCTTTTGAAGTTTTTCATGTTGAGAAATTGTAGCTATTTGTAATTGTGGAAAGAATCAATGCACAATCTTTTTGTTGTTATATTATGTTTTTTCTATTACTTGCATAGACTCCCTTTACTGTAAGATATCTCTTAACATTTCACTTCATCCATCCAATGTAGCCATGCCACTCTAGTTTGTTTTGTTCCTCTCATGTAGTAAAATGTAGAAGCTCGTCACATGTTTGATGAAATATTGCAATTCACTTGACACGAAATTTGCTGCTAATAATATTGTGTGATATTGAGGGACGGACGTATGGGGACTCAGCCGATGTATAGCTTGGTCCAGTCCCTATCCCATTTCATTTTCAAGTGTAGAAAAGTATCATATGAAATTTTTTTAACATATTAAACCCGCTTGAAAATTTTGTAGTCCGATTCCGATTCCGATTCCGATTCCGAATCCTCTCCTTTATTTGTCTTAATTGAGTTTTTTTTTTTTAAAATGTGTAAATCTTGGCTCAACTGAATTAAAATCATGACTCCACCAGATTTGCACTACCCACCACCACCAAATCCAATACCGACAATTTTAGAAAGTCCACCACAATAGACACAAGAGTTGACATAGCACACCATGATGCATGGACAGTTCCAATCATAAATAGTTGACAGAAAACCAAATATCGAGTTCATTCAACAATCACAATTGATACAACTGGCTTAGAAAAAAGGAAATAAGTGAAAAGAAAATGGGAAGATTATTCACTAAAACTCAAAAGTTTCTCTAAATATTCAGCTCCCAAGTCCTCTACTACCATAACATTTTCTACCTTAGCCTCTTTTGCCTTCCTTCTCTTAGTAAATGATCTTTTCCTCATTGAATGCTTCTTCTTCAGTGCAATCACTGGAGAGCACTCTCCTTGATCACAACTATTCTTCATATCTTGGAGCGACTCGATCACTCTCTCCACCGGAAAATTGAGGACTGCAGATTGACCACGTGTTGCAAATGCAGCTTCGTCATAAGCTAAAGCAGCAGCCTCCGGGCTATCGAATGTTCCAAGCCAAACTCGTACTCCTTTTCTAGTAGAATCCCTTATCTCGGCTGCGTATTTCCCCCATGGCCGCTTTCTAACACCGATATAGGATTTTTCCTTCTTTTGGACTTTCGTATTTGATGTAACCTCTTCTTCTTTACAACTTATTGAAGAATTGGAATTGGAGTCATCACTTGCAATTTCTGCTAGGATGTCAAATAGTAGCATTTCTTGGGAATCATTGACATTGAATGGAAGTGAATTGTGCTCCAAAACAAGTTTGTTATCCCATTCCCAAGAGAATGCTTGGAGAGAATTAAACGATGAGACGGGTGAGTATTGATTTCGAAGTAACGTGTTACTATTACTAGAATTCATGATAACGCGAATTAAAACAATCGAAAGAAGAAATGTTTTAAAGTGGTTCAGTCGCTGCGTCGAACAATTTCGCTTGCTTTGGCTATTGAAGGTTTGGCAATATTTTCCGAAAACGGGGGGTCTTTATATACCCGAAGTAAAGGGAAATTTCAGCCAGAAGAAAAATACAAATCAGATTTCAATATAATAAGAGTGATTAAAATATAGAGAGTTGGTAATAATACTATACATTATAAGAAATATCCATTTGGATCACTCTAATGTGGGGTCCAACTGATTTCTGCTTTGGCACGTGGGTCAAACAACGTTTCATGACGCACGGCGGCGGGGGTCCTACTCAACTTAAATAATCACTGCCTCAATCATGATTTTCCTTTTAAATTGAATTTCTATGTTACCATAAAAAAAACTAATCTAATTTCTATCATATCTTGGAATAAGCATTTTCAAAATTCAATGAAAGCGCGCGCGCGCACAAAAAAAAAAAAAAAAAAATATTATTTATGAAATAATGTATAGCTAAAAAGATGAAAGTTAAATATAGTCTAAGACCTTGTTTGAACCCCCCCCCCCCCCCCCCCCCCCCCCCCCCGCGCGCCC